TCAGCAAATGAAGGTCCCACAGGCTTTTCTCTCATTGGCTTTATTACATTAGCGTCATCATGGTCAACTCTACCTTGAGGAGTCAGCTCTTCTCCAGTCGCATTTTGAGTGCCTTCCAACCTGAGGGGCTCATTTTCCGGCACTATAGCTGACAGTGTTTCTCTGCTATTCATAAAGTGTTCAGTGACTAAATATTCAGAAGTAGTTCATCACTCCTTCTTCCTAGTCTGTCAGCTCATCTGAAACCTGTCCTCCATGGGTGACCTTGCTGGTATTTCAAATGCTGGTGGCATAGCTTTCAGAATCACAGCAACTCACAAGCCACCACAGTACGACAAACTGATAGACGAGTGGTGGAAACAGATTCTAGATTACCAAAAAGAAAACCTGCTTCACCCTTATTGTGAGTCACAATATAATGATGATAGTCAGAACTTAAGACTCGAAGTCTGCTTAAAGTTGAAAATTTCTTATCTCTTGATTATCCACAACACTAAGAACTTCCTCGTTCAAAGCAAACACTGAAATTTATGGTTACAAATATATACACTTATTAAACTGTTTTCAAACATTCACTGTGGAAGAATATTTTGAAAAGTAATATGCAAGAAAACACATATTTAGGATTTCTACTTTTTTTCTCCATGAGTCCTGGTGTAGGATAAGCACTGGACTGCGAAGCACAAAGTCAATGGTTCAAAACTACCAGTTAGTCCTCAGAAATGACTTGATGGCACTTAACAAGTATTTTTCTACCCACATATTCATTTTTGATTGCTGTATAATACTTGCATATTTTGTTATATATGTTGTTTTATACAAAACTAGAAAGTACTATGTGTGAAATTGAATACATTTAGGGAAAAAGAAGTTCATTTAGTGGTTCTCACCTGTGACACATTTTTGGTTGTCACAATTAGAGGACTATATTGGAATCTAGTGAGGAGAAGCCAGGGATGCTGCTAACCATTTTGTAACACACATGACAGCTCCAACAACAAAGAATTATCCAGCCATTATTAATGGCAGAGTTGAGAAATTCTGATTTTTAGTTATAAACTCAGAAATGCTACATTTGCTTTAAAACAGTGTACTTTTCTAGAACAAACAAATAATTCTCAATTTCACTGGATTAATGCCATAATTTTGAAAAGATCATATTAAGTACATACTGATAAGGCAGTTAGGTATGTTACTGAGTCACTTGGGTATAATTAACTAGAGGAACTATATTTAAAAAGAAAAGGAAAGAAAGGAACAGATATAAGAAGACAACGAGAGAGCAAGACAGAGACAGTGATTGGTTTATGGCTACCTCCCGCAAATGTGCCTTACCACAAATAGCAAAGTGTATTTCCTAAGTTTCTAACTACATGAAACACAAAGATGAATGGGGGAATGGAGAAACGAGGAATGATTTAAAAACATTATGCTATAATTCAGACTATGGACTATTATTATGTACCTGTACTACAATGCACAAAGTTGGTAGCATAGTGGTTAACTGCTTGGCTACCAACCAATACATCAGTGGTTTGCACCCACCAGCTGCTCTGCAGAGGAAAGATGCAGGAGTCTGCTTCTAAGAAGATTTACAGTCTGGGAAACCCTATGGGACACTTCTACTCTGTCCCACAAGACCACTAGGAGTTGGAACGGACTCAATGGCAATGGGTTACAAGGTTATCAAATATTCTCTGGTTGGAGAATGCTTGCTTAATTCATATTTTGAAAAGGAAGAGGTTACTATAATAGCATCTTCAAATTCCTGTCTAGTTAAGTTTTATTAGTCATGGAAAAAAAGCCTTTATAATTCTTCTAAATTAGAAAAAAAATAAGAATCAATATTAATAATACTAGTATGTATGTATGTTGATGTTGTTGTTAAGTGATCAATAGCGACCCTGCATAGGGTTTCCAAGGAGCTGCTGGTGAGCTTGAACTGCCGACCTTGTGGTTCACACTGACTTTGCAGTCCAGCGCATTAACCCATAGCATCATACCAGGACTCCAAAATGTACGTATAAAGACAGGGAAATACAAATCATGAGCAATAACCTCCAAGATACATGTTTTTTTTAAAGAAGAAGTCATGGTTCAGAAGTATTTGTATTATGCCACCTTTTATGTTAAAGAAAAAATTTTCCCCCTAAAGAAACTCTGCAGACTTCTGGCTAGTCTAGGCAGACATATGACACAGACTCTTTACAACAAAGATATGAGAGATCAAATGAAACAGACACAGATGATAATCCTGAACCATGAACTTCAGAGAAAAGGTTAGAGAAGTAAACTGCATGTTTTCTGGGAGGAGAAGCTGAGCAGGGATGGCAAGAGAGGGAGACTGGTGGGTGAATGGCTGGCTGCTCAGATGCAGCATGACCATCTCGAACTTTAGTGAGCTGCTTTGCTAACATAAGGTGGCCTGGCCTGGCAGAGCAGACCCACAAAGGTGACAGGAAAGGTGTGCTTTCTTTTTTCCCCATGCTCCCCTGGTGACCAGCTCCTACCCTCAATTCACACTCCCCAGATCCTGCTTTCTGGGAGTTAAGAGGCACGTGGTTTGGAGACACAACAGTGTGAGGCAAGGCCAGCAACACCTCTTTGGTGCCTGGATTCAGGTGGGCTTGGCTCCAGATCTATAGAGCCTGCAGAGCCACTAGCATTAGTCTAGCAGAAACTCTTAAAACCAGACACCTTGACCACAGCTGCCCTGTGATCCTAACCAACACAGAAACAAGGACCTCCAGAAACTACTTTCAGATTGAAAGCCCTAAACATAGTTAATACCTGGACCTTCAGGAATGCCCATCAAGGGCCTGGAACTCTGTTGTCACATCCTGCGGCATCCAATTCCTGAGCGCCTTGGTTGGCATGAGCCCCACAGAGGTTTCTCCTCTTCAGGGGCCAATAGTTGCAATGTTTTTGTTGTTTTTATTAGTCTGGTCTTTCTTACTCTCTTTCCATTCCCTTGAATTTTATCCTTTCTATCTCCACCTTTGTTTTCCCTTCTTTTCTTCTGTTTCTCATTTCCCCTTTTGTTTTACCCTATGACCATTCTTCAATACTTTCCATTCTTTCTCTTTTCATCTTCCTTCTCCCTTTTTTTATGTGTGTGTGTGTGTGTGTGTTTTGTTTTTAATTTTTTCCTTGTAGTTTCTCTACGACAGCTATTTTCCTGTCCCAAATCAATCTGAAGGTACTTAAAAGCAACAACTTTTCTCTTTTTAGTCATGGCATTTTTTTCTGGTTGCTGCCTGTTTTTATTAATTTTTTTTCCTTTATTATTTTCTCTCTTTGTTGTTGACTGCTTGTTTGTATGTTCTGTTGTTTTCGTGTGTGTGTGTGTGTGTGTGTGTGGTTCTCCTCTTTCCTACAGACAGAAAACGTTAACTGTCCCCATACAGTCCAACCACAACCATACCCTTCACAATTCTAACCACTGGGCAACAGCCAATACCAGCTTCTATACCACCTGACCAAAGACAGAAATCAGCCACCACCACCTAAACCCAAACTCAACTAAGGTGCACGAATGGTGAATGGAGAGCAGAGTACACGCTTCCATTCTCTAACCACACCCACAAAAGGCAGTCAGTGAGGGCCTAAGAACATATCAACATACAAACACTAATTAAACACAAATATTACAATACCATTTGTCCCAGAGACAACAGAAAATTTTAGTTCACACCTGGGAACAAGAAAGAATGGCTCAAACAAATGGCAAAGATACAGAGCAAGAAAGTGTTTCTGAGGAAGAAAAGGTAATGGAATTACCCAATAAAGAATTCAAAATGGTATTTAGGTACCTTCTAAGGACTGACAGAAAAATCAAGGAAAGCAAGGAGACCACAGAAAAAACTTTAGAAGAATTTGGAAAACACTACAAGAACAAACAGACAAAAATAAATGTAACAATACAAAACTTGCCATCAGAAATCCAGAAAATTACTACTAAGATTTCAGAAATGGAGACTATATTGAAAGGACAAAGGAGTATATTTGAAGCAATGACAGTTTGAATTAGTAAGCTTAAAAATAAAGCTCTCAATACTAGCATGCTAGAAGAACAATCAGAAAAAAGAAGAAACCCTAAGAGTTATGTGGGACACCATGAGGAATTAACACCGACAAAGACAGGGTAAATAGGGCAAGAAGGGAACAATGATGGAAGTAAGCCTAAAAAGTGGAACAAAATTCAAAATTGTATTATAGATATGTTGTTGAGGACATAGGTCATTGCATCACACACTGTTTGACCCTTACAAGGGCTCAAAAAACACATTTATTTGAAACCTCAGAGCCTGTAAACTGTGCTTCTCACTTGCAACTGGTTTCTTCTCATCACATCATTCATCTGTAACTGATTGAAAATTTTCTTTATACTGGCTGCTAGCTCAGCGAGAAATCTGTGGAAATCTTAACATCCTAATATTCCCTTTTAACACAACCTTTTACATTTCTATAAAACACAATCACAGACAATAACATCTTAAACACTTTTTAGAATAAAACTGAGTATAAATAAATTAATGAGGTAAATAACCTGCCTGACATGTGTTGGTAAATCATCCACTGTTCAATTTCCTCTGGTAGCAATTAATTGGACAGGTTAAGCTGCTAACTGGCAATTTAAACAATTTTTAGCTTTTTCAGAGTTAGGCAACTTTGCAGTATTCTGTTTCTGTAGTTCAGAGAATAAAATACAAACTTAAAACTAAATCGTTTTCTTGTTTCAACCTTAGTTTAATATAAATTAATATACTAAGTTAAAAAATTATTTCTTATTCCCTCCTCCAAACTGTGGGGGGAAAGGGGTATGAATCAAACAACCAACAATAATAATCTAGATATAAGTGATTACTCTCAAAATATGATCCAGAAAATTGATCTATAATTTAAGAGATAATTTAGAAAAATGTAGTAGCATGAGTTACACTGTGAAGAAAAATCTGGATTCTAGGCCAGATACAAAATGTATTCATCAAAGAACTCACATGGCTGTATTTTTGATAATTCTTCCTTGGTCCATTTTCTGCCCAATGCCATGCACAACAAATACAATATGGGTGGTCTGTGATGGCTTGTCTTCTAATGTGGCTTCTTCTACATAACCTCTATGAAGTCTGGTCCCACTACTTGATGCTGTAGAAAAATTATGGTTCTAAGTTTACTATTTTATTCTGAGAAATGAGAGCATTTTCACAGCATGTTTAAAGAAAAAAAGTAAAAAGAATATTAAGAAAAATTTTACTGAAGGAAATAAAATTCTTAAATTATGTATACTGATTAGCTAACATAAAATGTTAAATTCAACATGACAGAAAGCCAGAACTTCAGGAAAAAGGAAGGAAGGATGAGCTGAATACATAAGCAAACAAATAAAAAATATTCTACATTAATAAAATACTATGAAACCAAGATAAAAAATTAATGGTAAACAGGGAAAATTTCAGTATAACATGACACAAAGTAAATTAATCAAGTATATTCAAAGGGAGCTTACTAATAAAAAATTAAAAAACCTTTCAATTAGCTAAGTGGCTTAAAGATATAACCAGATCATTTAAAAGTAAAAAAAAAAAATTACCAATAATCATATAAGATATTCAAGTACCTTTGTTATCAAAGACAGTAAAATAAAATTTTAAAAAATGTGATGGTAAAATATGTCAGATAAAATAAAAAATTATTTTGATAATGGTCTCACATCTTTCCCAGGTAACATCCTCTCTCTTCTTTCGGTGAAACTTCTTTAAAGAGTTATCTATTCTAACTGCCTCTACTTCCTCACCCTCTGCTTAAGTTTCAACCCAAGCCAATCTGGCTTCTGCCCCATCAATCCATTTAAAGCCACCAATGGACGCCAAATTCTACGGGATATTTGCAGTCTCTTTCTTGATACTATGCTTCAATTGCCATGTTTTACTGTCACATCACTATTTCACTGTATTCATGATTTTAGAAATATAAAAGGTATTTCTAAATCTCGTCAGATCATTCTAAATACGTAATTATTCATGGATGAATACAAGTCAACTCAATCACCTTAATAAAATTTTCACTTAACAGGATAGTAAATGTTAGTAAACTTAATAAACTTTAATATACTAAAAATAGCATTTGTATAGTCTATACGAAACATAGCATTCGTATAAACTATTTTGTATGTGTAAGAAAAAAGTCAAATTCCTCCAACTCTTACAAACTTATAATAATCTATAATTAATTACCTTTAGAAAACCCCAGTTTTTGAGTAACAGTTCTTGCTATTTTAGATGTTGTTGCATCACTATAAAGATAAACTTCATCAACACTGTGCCAGTCCACATGGTTTCGACTCAACTTGAAACTGTGAATAGCTGTTATGAAAAGGAAAAACTAATTTGAAGGTTTTCAAGTCAAACTTCATTTATGTGGAAACTTACACTACATAAATTTTTATTATCAGTACTGGCCAATCCAACTAAGATATTTAACCCAGTTCAATAGAAAACTATTTCACTGAAACACATAATTATGTGAGGCAATTAATGGATAGGGGCTTTTATAAATAATTAACCATGCTACAGAGAATGTCAACTGGTTAAAACAATATGGTTGTTGTTGTTACTGTTAAGTGCCACTGAGTCAGTTCAGACTTGGAGCGACCCTGAATAGGGTTTCTAAGAAAAGGCTGTTGAGTATGAACCACCGACCTTGTGGCACCAACCGATGGTTTAGTGTTCATCCTACTGTGGCACAACAGGACTGCAAAACATATGGAGCGATTGCAAGTTACCAATACTTGACTGGATGCCTGCTATGGTACTGCAGGGTAAGTGCTGGGCTGCTAACCATCAAGGTCAGGGGTTTAAACCAACCAGCTGCTCCTAGGAAACTCTATTCAGGCCAACTTAACAACAACATCATTTACATGAGTGAATTAACTACCACAATTGTGACCTGTAACACATAGTTAATATGTGCATTGCTTATTAAAGAACTCCTTCCATAATTGGTTCAATCTTTCCTTAGGTTTAAGAGGTATAAACTACTTGACAGTTCTTAGTAACTGGGGCACTGAAACTGAACTTCTTCTCTTCCACTGATTTTACCAACTATATTGAAATATCTCTGAAAATTCTGTTCAAGACAAAAAAGTTATCTTTAAACTGGGAAGATAAGAAATGAATGAAGTCTTTTTTCTAACATGATATTCAAATCAGTATGATTATTAATTTCTGTAACTGATGTTGGGGTATTCTTTCTGAACATAGCTCTTAAAAAAATTGAACTTATATACTTAGGAATACCTAAACTCTTTGTGGGCAGGGGCTGTGTTATTGTCTATCTTTACCTAGTACCAAACACAGTGCTTAGCAAAGCACAGCATTCAAAAGCAATGTTTGTGAAAGCATTGAACTGAGAAAACTGCTATCCACTAGCTCATAAATTGCTGTTGTAATCTGAACTTTTAATTTTTCTTCTCTCTGGGAGACAGGTAAGAAAAATTCCACAGACCAATCTTTAGAAAACAAGGCATCTTCAAATCACTACACCTGATTTATTTTCTTAAAATACTCTTACGGCAACTATTACTCCTCCTTCATTTTATACATAAAGATAGAAAGAGACTTCTACTAAAGTCAGTGACTGGCAGAGCCATACCAGTCAGTAATGGCACTGGGGGCACCGATTCCTGTCACACTGTCAGGGAAGGTGACACCACAAATACTGTAGGTAACATTTCTGAGCAATGCTTCGTCAGAAATTTATAAAAATATCCTGTAGTTACTTGTAACCACAAAAACATTTTTTCATAACCCAAGCTTACATGCACCAATACCTACAAAATGAAAACTCCATGTTAATTTACTTTGTGAACTGACTCAGCAGCACTCAACAATAACACCATGCTCTGGTCAGAGTTCCCATTATTACCCAGTAACAAGGACATTATGGATTACATGGTTTTGTCTGTACATGCTACCAGCACAGGCTGTTGTTTCTGTTTCTGCTGCCAATTTTATAGTAACTGATTTTGTTACATTTTCTAGTGTTTTAGCTACAAGTATTTGTGAAACTATATCAATTAATATTTTTAAGAATGTTGTTGTTGTCAAGTGTCATCAACTCGGTTCCGACTCACAGGGACCCTGTATAGGGTTTCAAAGGAGCAGCAGGTGGGTTTGAACCACCGATCTTGTAGTTCAGTTTAGCGCTTATCCTATAGTATCACACCATTTTGAGAATGTAGCAGTAATTAAAGCAAAACAAGATGAAAAACTTAAAAAAACTTCAAACAGTTTCTAATAATGTAACCAATAATGGTATATAATTATATGTAGAATGATTTTACAAAATCATTGTTAGTATTCATATATATTATATTGCAGTAATTTACAACTACATTTATCACATATATTCACTGATTAAAACTAATAATAAACATTGTATGAGCTGTTCATGGGGAGGGAGTGATGCTAACCCTAGTGACACCACTGAGCACCATCTAACTTTTCTGATAAGATGAATAAACACTATACTCTAGAAAATTAAGAAATGGGTTGAAAATAACCTTAAGCTAAATATGTAAAAAGACATGGCTTTAGTCAATATCTAAGACCACAGAGACATTTTTATCAAAACTTTTTCCCTACAAAAATACACAGACAAGTAAACCTTTTTTGGTGAAATGTACTATTTATTAGTTACATTACAAATGCCAATTTCAGAAGTGTATAAAAAATAAATTTGTATTTTACTTACCTGCCAGGGTACGTTACTAACATTGAACGTAAGACCAAGAAGCAATAAACATAACAAACATTAATAATATCTTCATTTCCCAAGAAAACAATGTATAAAACTCAGCTTTTAAAAAGTAAATGAACCTTTTGTGAACTTTTAAATCTTTATTTTTATAAAAGTTTAAAGTTATTTTACTTTATCTAATTCCACATCTGATCCAGTATACTGTTTTTATTTTAAACCGCTATTTTTATTTTCTAAACCACATTTTGGTTAAAATGGTTTTGAGCAAGCCATTTAATTGTTGATGAACTACAATTAATTCACAGAAACTACAAGACCAAGATATCAAGGCAATAAAATTTTGCACTTTCTTAAATCACCCACTACAATCTATATTGTTTAAGGTACAGCTAGCTGTCTTAGCATTGCTGGACATCCCATTACTGGACTATACACAATGTTTATATACAGTTATCATTAAGTAACACTAAGCAAAATAGCATAATGAATGCATTTTTTTAAAAACAACAACAACAGTAATTTCTATGGTTTTAAATGTAGTCTTTCAATACATTTCTCATAGCAAAATAACTGAATACTGTAATTTAGAAATATAACTACACGGACAACTGAAACTACAATTACTGTACCTTGGGAACGCTTTCTTTTAAGACCTGTCGCATCTGTACTCTCCTTATATCCTCTCCATTTGAACAAAGAAGGGAGGGAGAAGGGAGGGAGGTGGTAGACAACTAAGAGAGTAAAAACACTGAGCTTCAAAGTAAATTTTAAATGCGGTTGGCCATTTTGCCTTTTTTGTTGTAGTATTAACTTTAAAAAATGAGTAGTATTTGACAAACATTATTCTAAATGCTTTATTTACAGAATTTCTAATTAAAGATCAGTTTGCAAAACTTTAGTAATGTTTATCAAATATATGCTCTACTTTTACTGAAAGAAAAAAAGGCAAATGAGATCTAAATTTATTAGTTAAAGATAACTATGTGATTATCACATTTAATGTCACACAGAAAAAACAAATTTCTGATAGCTTATGAAATTTATAAAATCCTATCTTTAAAATAAGTTATTTATTCTCATCAAATTAGTGACTACAACACTGAAAATTTCTGCAGTATCACTTAAGAATGCAATAAATATCATTTTAAATATCAAATACAGCTTTCTTGACGCTAGAGCATAGTATACACTCCGCTGAATGCTCTTTATTACTACAGTATAATGGAGCTCTTCCCACAGAAATAAAATACATTTTTTAACAAAAAGAAAGTTCTATAGGTAACTTTATATTTATCAATGATAAAATAATGAAAAAATATGTCATTAGTGAAAATATATGCTGTGACAGCTTTTAAAATTGGAACAGACAACATAGAACCAGGCATAGATTTGGTATTTGGAATACCAACCTTAAAGTCAACATTTTACCTGTCAAATATTGCTAGTTACATATTAATTAATATTTTTAGAATTTTAAATATGGAACGATTTAAAGATCCTCTTGAAAGTGAATCTTCTATGTCAATTTCCTAATGAACCATAGTTTTATAATTTAGTTCACATTTATATTCAAATATGTTTGATTTTCACCCTTATTTCCTCATATATAAATGTGAGTCAAAGTTAAATACTGCTCAAATAGGAAAAGAGTTGAAATGTGAAGAGTTCATTCCTATTGTATAGCAGAAGATATATTAAAAGTATTTTGTATATACAAATGAATTGTATGCAAAGATTTATGTAATAAAGGAGACTGAAAATGCATACAAGGCATTTTAAAATAACTGTACCTACATGAAATCAGAAAACTATAAAAGACTACAGGCTATGACTAAAAGCTGAGTTTTTACATCATAATTATAAAATCATTTCAATACCACAGAGGTAGAAAATAACTAAAGCAACTTTCTTCACTGAAAATGTTTCTTCTTTCATGTGCCATCTGGTCAGTTACTGAGAATTAGATGTATCATTTAAATTAGAAGACATTTTTTAAACAAAAAAAATCATTAGGAAAAAGCTGCTAACATATCAAAGTAGTACAAACTGACTTGAGATTTTACTACTCAAAGTAACATAAACTAGATTTTGTAAACCTAGTAGTAAAACTAACATGAACTGATTCTGGATCATCTAAAAAAAGCACTAACAGGAAACATATGGACCATTTGATCACATTTTAAAATTATGCATACACTTTCAGAATGCTAGTCAAGTTACAAAAATGAAAGGTTTTCCTTTTTAAAGGCAAAGCATAATTTAAGAATTAAAAAAGACAAACCTCTCAATATACTAAAAACAGAGAAGCATGTTTATTTAAACATTTCCCCCAAATTAAATAGACATGGTTCTTTACCATCTTTTGATATTGAATTCTTTTCACTTGAAAGGTATTTGCTTTACTTGTTATGTATCTTATAGCAGTTAGAAAGCTTAAATTTAAGGAATTCTCAAGCCACACCAAAGAATTAGGGGTACTACCACAGCAACAGTAGAGAAAAATAAGTGCTACTATTAATCCCAACAGGGAACACTGTTCGAGGAAAACTAAGTGTCAGAAAGCATTATTTTTTCCTTTTAAGTTTTAGTTAGAAATTCTTGTATA